TAGCGGCAGGAGATGCATGGAGCACTAGAGCGCTCTGGCGCTGCTCCTGCGTGAACAACCCGTCAAAATGCCTGCTAAATGTTGGAGCAGCATTTGGCAGCGTTGATGCACAGGTTAAGGAGGCGCTTTCTGGAGCCCATTCAAAAGAAACAATGGAACAAGGATGGTTCTCGACATTACTAGCTGGGCCTGATATCTTTACGTCGTCGATACGTCGTTTGATACACTGAGGGCTGCCGTGTGATCCACGCAACAGCCTGCGTCAGCCACGGTGACAATGACTAGCGACAAACTGTAAACTCACCTTCATAGATCATGGTTCTGGCCACGTGCGAGTTGACTGAATCCGCCTTGAAGTGCCACTTTTCCGCTCAAAAGTGCACGGAAAGGCACAGGAAAAGGGGTCAAAAAGCTGAAGTGGTATCCGAATGCCGTTTCCCGTCTATGCTTCCGCTGCCAGCCAGCCTTCCGCCTAACCATGGCCCAACTATATCTTTGTCCGAGTACTCTCGCTATGACTACATGTTCCCTGCGAGATCGTGGTGTTAACGCGAGCCCCACACATGGACACTAGCGCGAGCGGAGTCGAGGGACAGCGCTCGACTACCATTACCCTCCAGTTCCGATTACCGGTCAAGATGAGCTTGCTGCTGTTCTACTGCTAGGGACCTACTCATGTGACGAGGACCGCCCTAGAAACTGAGTGGACAGTTTGTCTCTGATCGCAGAGCCCGCAACCTCCATTTGTGGATTGTGCTGATCAAATACGAGTGCCATGTGACATACTTTCACTAGTTCGCTGCGGATGAAGGGACGTGTCAGGCGGTAAGTGTGCCACGGCGCCAAACCTGTTCTCTTCTAGTTGTAGGGTATGAGACAAGAGTCGATCGAAAATGGGTGATACGAACGATATGGTATAGCTTGTCACTTGCTCGCTTCAACATCTGATGGAGAAAGGGTTGGCACCACGCCGAGCTCATACTGCCTGACACGCTCCTTCATCGGCAGCGACCTAGACTATAACCCAACAGCAAAAGAAAAAAGCAAATCCCAACCTCGAAAATGGACTAAATGAGGAAGTGTGTTGATTTCGGGCGACGGTGAACGGCAAAATCGCACTTCAGCATCCGGCCTTTGTGAGCGGCGGTCGCGGCGCGGTTTCGGCACTAGGGCATCATGGTCAACTATCGTCACCAGCGAGTAACATCTTAAGTTGACTACTATGAACTCAACATGGGAATATCACCACACTATACTCACAAAAGCATCGAATCTTGTATAATAATGTTGATGATGTGGCGTTTCCCACTAAATTTCCGTTGAACTGGAGGTAAAGTCCTGTAGGGAGGAACAAACGCCTTCCTCATCATGTTTAGAGGCATCTCGCCCATCAACGTGGGGACATTTCCTCTGAAGTCTACCCACTTCCTTGACTTTAAGCATTCTGCGCTCGAAACGGCTTCTTCAAGATCTGCAGGAAGCAGTTGGAAACAGCTCCTGTACACTTCATCAATGTCGTAGCAATTCAAGCAATTTGGCACGTTCATTTTGCGGGTCCTGCAGTTACATGCCACATTAGAATGTGGCATTTTGTGAGTGTGCGCCTCCAGCAATGCGAAGCATAGGGCACCTTTATACGCAACGCTTCTGACAAAGTACCCCATCTAGGGAAAGCGGTGGCAGGAGGTGTACGCATTGATTTATGCCTTGAACTTTCAACGGTGGTTCAGATAATTCCCGGTTGACTCAGTGGAGCCGTTCTGGTTCTGGATTTGGCCAGCTTTTGGATTTGACCCCATCAAGTTGGTTGAGTATGGCGAGACTTTCTACATTCCTTACAGTGATTGACATCTGAAAAGTGATTACACACACTGGAGATCAAAAGGGTTCACTTCGCTCTTGAATGGGTGATTTTGTTAACTAAGTGTACATTATAATAGCCAGCATTGTGCAAGTCATTCAAAGCGTTTCGAATTGAAACATCTATTTTGCTTCCTTTAAACTTCGTCAGGTGCGCGCCTGATTTTCGATTATGCAAAATACGAGCGCTTTCATACTTCGTGGTTGTGCGATCGTATGAGCGCGCAGCGTCTTCAGGGTAATCGTGCCGGGACCGCGCGCCGGATGCTCAAGTGCGATTTCTGCCGTTTACCTTACGTCGTTGATTTCAAGCATTATGTGGTGTGATGAGAGTATTCTGCACAGCCTCACATCGGTAAACAAAACGAAAGGGGTACAGGCCAACGTGTGAACTGCGTCATCACTCCGCGTTGTTGCAAGCGTGCTAACAGGAGCTTTGCAAGCACGATCACCGCTCAGCTGGCTTTCATACCGTGCGAAAAGAAGATTCGTAGACAGAGCGAAACGAAACTAGAAGGAATGTAGGAAGAGAGTGTATGTGTCCATCCGAAGACTCGGAAAATCGGCAAATTCTCACTTCTCAGAATAGCACGCTTTCTTTGGGGCACTTCTCAGTTCTCCCGACGGTATAAACCTGGTATTATCGCTTGGCGGTGTTCAGAGTTCGTGATGACGAGCGTCAACTCATTGCAATTGCAGTAGCAGCTGCAGACGAAATTTGGCAGGCAGGCCGGGCTCGGCCGCTTTTGTATTGAGAGGGTATGGGGGAATGAGACAGCGCGCTGTGCATAATCATTCAATTTGCTGTCGCTCAGCACTTGTCGCTAGTTCTGTGTGAAAGTATGGGAGAGTACTAGATTGTCTGAACGCAGTACCTGCCCTCCTGCTATCCTATATTCTCTCAGAACACAAGCAGCCGGCACCTAATGATACCCGTCTATGGCTGCGTTCACCTTTAGCATTGAAGCTCCATTACACTGCTAGGGCCCAGAGAGCCTCGACACGTTTCATCGCGAAGTCTGAATGCTGCCCTTCGCAGTATCCACGTCATCATCCAAATGATTCAATGCAGCACTACTACAAGTACTACACTGAATCAAGTCAACCGGCCAGGAGATAATTCTCGAGCTTGTTCCTGATGCGCGTCGAAGTATCTGAACATGTTAGACTCAGCATGGCTTTTCTTTCGTTCAACCAGAGCATTCACCACCACTATTTGAGAAATTTACAAATCTTTCGGAGAGCTTCTTGGTTCCGCTCTTGCAGTACTGCGAGAGCGGACAGTGCTGCGAGACTTGACCAATCTTGATTCTAATTTGACGTCATTCATCAAATTTTTCGCTTTTACACTCGCTCTATAGCCCTACGTGGGTGCTAGCCAGAAGGTGGTAGGTATGCGAAAAAGCCGGGTATGTCTATTCTCCCCAACCGAGACCCTTGTCCATATCATCTATTTCCGCGTCACCATTACACGTGCGGACGAACAGGCTTTCTTGAATGAGTTGCACTTGTGATGTGATCTTTTGTCGTCGTTTAGACTGGGCTGTGGTCAGCTGGTATGCAGAATTGCTTCCATCGCTCCAGACAACTTCTCTTCAAGAACAGTGGATACGATAATTTGTTCGCTCCCAGAGAACGGAAGTAGGGAACTAAATAGCGCGGCAAATACGGTCAAAAAAGCCCTGAGTTGGACCCTCATTAACCTCTTCAACAAGAAAGATAATAGCGTTAGTTGACATTCAGTGCGGAAAAATCACAGCGATTGCAATGCAATAACATTGCTATGAAAAACATAATTTCAAGTGACGGCAACCTTTGAGATGATGTCAAGGAATGATTTAAAGTCAGGGAATCAAAAACAAAAATAAGGATTCAATAACGACATTATATAAGAATGCCAGTCGAATGCATGGGACTGCATGGGACAAGTGATAAATAATCGAAATAACATCATAAAGTGCAATATTGCAATACCCTTAGGGGCAATGCTTGCAAGACAACCTTGCATATCCTAGGGGAATTACTATCTGTACTAACAAGAACTTCAAAAGAATGCCAGCCGCATGCAAACATAGCCCATCTACTAGCATTTGCTACTAGCAAACCTCGAATTTTCTCTGCTATAGGGGCTACACCGAACCTTTTGTTTACGACATAGTGCAAATACGGTCCAGTCCAGTGTGACGCCGCTGTCCAGCGCAACATATTCATTTCATATTCATTTCCATCGCACTGAGGCGAGCTTCAACTTCTTTAGTTGCCTCCATATAACGCACTCGGACGACAGTTCTATAGTCTTCAACTCAAAACGCGCTGGCATTTCTTTTTTCGTAAAGAATACTCATTTGGACCATGTCGCACTTAGTTGTGCACTTCTTCAGGTTCAGGCTGTGGGACGCAAGTGCTGATCCGAAGTATAATACTTGGTTTCTGCACACTTGAGCACAGTGTCACCGATTTTTAATGGAGCCGGGCTCATTTTGGTTGGTTGCCAGGTACTCGGCCCTGTTGACGTTCATCCTGAGCCCAAACTTCGCCAGGCGACTGGTCTATGCCTGCACCCGCTGTTGCAATGTATTCTTATCTTCGCAGGCAAGCACCACATCATCGGAGTGAAGCAGCGTGCGATGCACTTCTTTTAGAGGTTCCCGTGAGATGGCATCCATGAAGACAACAAAGGGAGTGGAGAGAGCGCAGAGCCTTGATGTGCCTCGACAGTGATGAAAAACTCCATTGAAACTCCCGCTGGTGAACGCACTTGGCCCCTTGGGCATGTTCAAAGGATGCGCATCCACCAACATTATTGGATCCACTCAGGAAGAAAGCAAACAGCGGTAGAAGGTCCACGGGTGGGCTCATCTCATGTCCTATGGACATCGTCGAAACTGACAACTGCGGCGATATGGACTGTGTTTCCCCCGATAAAGGTGTTCCTCAGTGATAACCCCTCCTTGCCATTATTGCTGACCATATTCTTATCTATCCTCTACCTCTGTATATCGTCTCTTCTAGCGATTCGGAATACTGCACTCCTCAGCGAATAAATTGCGGCGAAGTGAATAAACCCTTGCCATCTCCCATGGCAAAGGTTTATACACTTTGCCGCACTATGACATCGCTGAGATGTGATGATGATGATCATGATGTACAAGCCGGTACGATCTAGCAGTGTCAAAGAAGGTGGTAGTTAGAGCCTGCTAACTTTGGTGAATAAGCACGTGCCTGTGTCGACTTTGGCCGTCACTGCTGCGCCAGTATTCAGCGACATCGCTTTGATGTCCCACCAACAAGACAGTGAAATCTTTCTTTCATGCACATCTGCTTTTGGCCAGGCAGGCGACTTCTCTCCTAGAGAGATGTGTGCATGGTTTACGCAAGGACTGCAATCTCGCTAGCAACCAAATGTCTCGCGTGAGTTCTTTTCAGTATACGAAGAAGGGAAAACTCAGTGACGACCATTCGGTGCGCTTCGTCAGACTGGTCCAGCCTTTGAGGCATACTTCACAGGAATTTTCGCCTATGACTGAATAAGTCATCAAATCATTGCGGACAAGCATGGCAGTTGCCACTTAGGTGCAGCCTAGAGAGGTTGCCAACTTACTGGTGATTACGTTCGGCTGCGCCACCAGGGGTTGAGCAAGCGGCCGTCATTCTGTGCTTGTGGCCGACCTATGTATACGCTGCCTACCTTGAATTAAATAATAGCTTACAAGCGCTGATGCCAACGGGACACTGTGACATGACATAATGTACCCGTCTGCGAAAACGCTCAGAGAGCACTCTCCAGTAATCAGGTGACATACCTCCTGAAGGACATGCAGGGGCGAAAACATTCAAAAATGTTTCAATATTCTTGTGCCTTACCAGTTTGTTGGGTGAAACACTTATTTAAATTAGCCTAACGTTTCAACTTAATCGTCGTCTTCAGAAGCCATTGTTTCCACCGTTTGAGCGGAGATATCTGTTGGTATGAAAAAAATTTTTTTGTACTCACAGCTCTCTAGTGTGCCAGGAACCTATCCTCTTAAACGGTGGAACCACTGGCTCTGAAGACGACAATTAAGTCGAAACGTTAGGCCATTTCTAATGAATGTTCCACCTAAAACCTCTTGAGGCACGAGTATATCAAAGCATACTACTAACATGCCTAGTTGCAAGAAGAGAGAAGCTGGAGAATACATTCAAAAATGTTTTTTCGGTTTTTTTTCTGGAACAATTCAGTCAAAGTGTTGCAGGACTTTCTTTCCAGCCTAATAGAATCTGGTTTAGAAAAGTTCTTTGCAACCATACTGTCATACACTGGGATAAGGTGCAATGGAAGGAATGTTCAAGCCATGGTCTTTTTTTCGTAAAAATAAAGGGCTATCACCTCTGTTGGGGCCCCTCATCAGAACATCAGAACACTGTTCATCAGACCCAGAGGAGCTAGAGACTTATGCGCGTTTTGTCGACGCAAAACCCCTTTACGCGCACTGATAGCTCATGGACATCCCTTTCAGAGCGTATAACTTCCCATAATGTTCCAATTTCACCTTTGCCTACGATTCCGCTAAGCTCATTATACACAGTTTAGGGTGTATCATCAATGATTTATGTCTACGCAAGGCCAGTAACGAAATACAATCAAGAGTGTCTTCGGCGATGGCTGACAGTTGACAACTGCGAGAGTAATTCTCAACTAGCATTCGCAATTCAGCTCCAGATCACTAGCTCGGAGTTTTCGGCTAGCAAGGTAACGTCATGCTAGCAGCAAGTGAAGCACTTCTTATCACCCATATAGAGGTCACTCAAAATCCCGCAAGTTTTCTCTTAAAGGCAGTTGGCACGATAAATCGCTATACAGATGTAGGATTTATACGACTGGCTTAACAGAATTCCGTGACCTCGGACAGGCGCTCCGTGGCGCCTTTTCCAAGGAGGGTACCCCTATAACGCCCTATCGAGCAACAACATTCCGTCCCAAGTCTTATTCATTCATTTGCTGAGCAAATTATGAAGCGAAGGGATTGGTATGAAGCGGCCGTGATGCTGCATGCATATATGGGTACACATATGCAGCCGTATCTTCGGTAGCGGTGATTGGCAAGATGCGTACGGGAAACTCGTCCGAAATCGATTTTCAAGTCACTGAGAACGGAGGCTTTTTCTTCGCCGGATTTTGACCGTTTCACTCTTTCGCCATTTCCCCACTACATAGCGCCCTACTAGCATTTTAGGCCGAGTGGGAAACCATCGTGCCAACTGCCTTTAAATTAAGATTTGTCCGAGTCGGACTTGTAAGATATATTGCGCACGAACCACAGAGGACGACCTTTCCTATGAGCGAGGTAAATGGGCCCGTAGCTGCAGTGACGTACCACTTTTCCGCCCAAGAGTGCATAGGAAGGGGCTGGGGGGGAGGTACTGGAACCTAGTTGTCGTCTCCATACTCCGCCCATACTGTCCTCAATTTGCAGCCCTGCGTTGATTTCAAGATCCCGTAGCGAAATTCGCACTCACTGGCAGCGGTAGAAAGAAGCAGAATAAAGAGAGGGCGCATACAAAAGGCGCGTTTGGCCCGCGTGTAAGGTGGATGGCCATACGGTAGCGAGGGCGCAGTATGGAGACGAAAATGGGTGTCACTACCGTCCAGCCCGTTCTCGTGCACTTTTGTGCGGAGAAAGTGGCACGGTACTGCCGTTGCGGACCCATCCACACCACATATGACAAGGTACAGAATCAGCGGAGGAGAGTGCACAGCAGGGCACGTCCTGCTACAGGGGAAATTTTCAGAAAATACGAATCCCCAATTCTCTCCTTTGATACGCCCCCTCCCCTCCCCAGCAACGAGCAAATACTACGCCACCCCTTTCCCAGCAGCGAGCGAATACAATCCCAGCTCCCCTTTGTAGCGTCTATGAAAACAAGAAAAATTAATTATCAAAACATTTTTCTCAGACCAATCGCGACCCCCCTCCCCTCAGTGACCAAATCCCGCTTCCCGCTGGGGATTCTCGAACGTTCGACGTGGTCTGGTTTACAGTTGATCTTCATAATGTGTCCCTCAGGCCGAGGCCGTGTAGTGGCAAAGTTGCATGCCTGTCACGCGCTCGATTCCGGGGTCAAATTCTGGATGGGGAATGCAATAAATATGTTTATGATCTTCCCACAATCTTTTCAGCTGATCCTGGATTTGCCTGGCCATGCTTCACTTATCGACCCAATCCCCAACGCTATTGCTGCCAACGTTGACACTGATTGTGTAACCGGAATTAACATCGACGCAGGTAAGTTACCAATTCCATTCGTTGAAACCGGATGCAGTTGGCAGTAAGTCAGGCAGTAAAGCAATTTTACTGAACAACACAATCAGAAACAGTGGGGGGGTTTTATACGTTATGAGATCCATCATTCCGGAAGGCAAAAACCAGTCCATTGTCCTCAGGAATTGACTGGCCGCTAACCGCCCCCGCAATTACTAGCGCTAACAATGTACCACCACGTCTTGAACCGATCCAGCAACCTCCCCCTTTAGGTGGCACTAATGAACACTAAGGCTGTACGTCTTTCTTTTCTTCAGGTCGGTCACCTATGCGTTTGCGCTTGGCGTGGCTTCTTCGATCTGTATTCTCGTGGAGGCTATCAGTCTGTGTACACGTAAGTAGTTTCGATCGCTGGTGTGGAATCTGCGGCTTTTGGCTTGCCGGTTGTACGCGGTCACTGGTGGACCGTGGCGTCCGTAGCAATGGAAGCAACGGCAAGTTCGGAGTAGTTGCGGTGTCCTTGGCTTTGTAATAACATATGGAAATTTTGAATACGACGTGGACGCAATTGGATTAACCCTTGCCGTCGCCATAATTTTCCACTATAATTATAGAGCTGTTGCCAATGTCTTTTGTGGTACGTGAGCTAGTACATCTGTCGTGGTGTTCCTGAATGATAATCCATTCCAGATTAAATCACCCACGTTGTACTCCTTCCGTCGTGCCCCACGGTGGCGATTGTATTGATCTTCCATGTCTTGTTACGCATCATTTCACTTCAAATATAGCGGCGGCTTCCATAAAAGCTGTAGTTTCGTGCGGTCCAGAAAAGCTTCTAGCTGGTGATAGTTCCAAGCCAGAAATTTTTGTCACTCGTACACAATGACCTTTTCTTTATCTTCGCGAAACTCCTTTTGAAGGTATCTACGAAGCGTTCTGCCTGGCCGTTAGACTGCGGGTGGAACGGTGGCGACTTGATATGCCTTATACCGTTCTTCTTGCAGAACTCGCTGAAGTCGTTGGATGTAAATTGAGGTCCGTTGTCCGTCACTAGCGTTTGTGGATTTCCAAATTGGGCGAAGAGTCGGCGCAATTCTCTGCTCGTGCTGCTCGCTGTCGTGGATGTTTCGACGATGTCCGGCAATTTTGAGGACGCATCAACGATGATGAGGTACATCTTCCCCTCCATCGGTCCAGCGAAATCGGCGTGTATGCGATCCCACGGTTTCTCCTCCATCGGCCATGAGCAGAGGGTTGCTTTGACTGGATTCCTGGCAGTTTCCAGATAACGGCGACAGGACTTGACGAAGTATCCGAAGTCGTTGTTGATTCTCGCCAAAATTACTGGAAATTCATCTTCATCCATGTCATTCCTGGATGTCCATTGTGAAGTTCGCTCAGCACGGCGTCTCGTAAAGTCATTGGAATGACGAGGCGCGCTTGCGACTTCTGACTTCCATGACCGCTCTCCATCTCTGACCCATTTGAGAACATTCTTCAAGGTGGGATCCTTGGTGGTTTCTTCTGCTACTATTTATTTCGGCGTCGACTAGTGGTTTGACAGTTGCATTGAAGAAGCTAGAAGCCGAATCCACCTCAGTAACTGCAATGACTTCATGTTCCTGGGTTGTAGTGTGTTGTCCAAAACTGGAGCTGCTCCGGTGTATACCGAAGTCGTAACTCTCCACTATACAGACACTCCTTTCTTGCTCGCGGAGATGGCTAGGAGTGGCTTGTGGTCGGTTAACAGCTTGAAGTGACGTCCGAGGATGTAGCGGTGGAACTTCCGCAGAGCGAACGTTATGGCGAGAGCTTCCTTCTCGACTTGACCGTAATTCTCCTCGGCAACTGTTAAGGAACTGCAAGCATGGTGAATCGCTTTCTCTGTTCCATCCGAGAAACGGTGACTGATCACTGCTCCTATCCCGTACTCCGATGCGTCGGCCGCGATGACGATCTCCTTTCGTGGGATCGTAGTGGGTGAGCAGTAGGTCCGAGGCTAGCACATCCTTGGCGCGTTGGAAGGCATCTTGGCACTCGGCAGACCATTTGAACGGCGTATCCTTCTTCAGGAGCATCCAACGGTGCACGAAGTTGTCGCATCTCGCTGACGAA